GAGAGAGAGAGAGAGAGAGAGAGAGAGAGAGAGAGAGAGAGAGAGAGAGCTGGGTTTATGCTTTGTTAATGAGTGATTTAACAGCTGTCAAGTAGGAAGTATAGGAAGTAGGTGTCCAAAATGATGAATATTTTATGTATATGTGTTTGCCTGTATGCATGTCTGTGTGACACATACATGCAATGCTGGTGGAGGCCAGAAGAGGGAGCTGGATCCCCTCGAACTGGAATTACAGATGATTGTGAGTCACCATGTGAGTGCTGGGACCCCCTCACCCCCGTCCTCTGCAAAAGTGCCCTGAATCATTGCACGATTTCTCCAGCTCAGTTTTTCACTATGTAGCCCAGGCTACTTAAACTTTGGATCCTCCTGCCTCCACCTCTTGAGTGCTATGATGATAGGTGTTGCACCACCCTGTGGATACTGGGTATTGCTCCTGACACTCATGTTTCTTTAATCCATGTGTTTATATGTTTAATGAGCAACTGCCATGGGCTGGATACTGTACCAGGCATTGGGTCATAGAAGGAAACACACCAATCATGGTTGACCAAGTATAAAAATAATCATAGCAATGACAGATGGTGTTAAATATAAATAATATTGTAATAAGGGGTGTGTGTGATAAAGAGCAGGCGGGAGGGAATGGGGCTCTGGGCTACACCAGTGAATCAGAAGCAGAAGAGAATACTGAACTTGAGACTTCAGAGGTCAGGGAACATTCCAAGCAGAGGTAAAAGCAAGTTCAAAGTCCCGAGACCTTGACTAAATAAAGTCAAGACCAGAGTGGATGTAGATGAGAGAGGCAGTAAAGGGTGAGATGAGATGCAGGAGAATGCTGGGAGACCCTGGAGAATGCTGGGAGATGCTACATCCACGGCTGTCTCGCCAGTGTAGCAGAAATGCTGACTGGATGGGCAAATATTGCCGGAAGGATTGAGATTTGTGCTTCTAGGAGCTGTGTGTTCCAGGCGGTCCCTTGGCAACCAGTTGTGGTGTAATGCTACCTGAGTCGCCATTAGTATTGACTCGACCTGGCTGTTCTTGGAGCCATATGTGTGTCTTTTCCCTTGTCTGTGTGTTCTTTGTGATTCTTGCATATTGCTAACAGATCAGACTATTCCAGGCAGTTGCGGATACAAACAAGACTGCTGAGGACATTTTTGAATTCTGCTCCACTATTAATTAAAGCCTTAAAAAAGTAGCCAGTTCTGGGAATTGCCAAAATCATCATTAGAACAATTCCTTGATGATGTGGAATAAAAGGAGTTAATCTTAGCAGAAAAAACCTTAGAAGCCTTCTACAGGAAAACAGCATTAGGCATTTATGTGCAACTTAACAGGAGGCCTATGCAACCTTCCTTATGGCCAGAAAACCTAGGCTAATTACAACATCTGACCCTGAGAGTCGGGAAGGGAAAGGAGTTGAGATTAATGGTACAAAATGAGTCTCAGAAAGTTTTTCCAGGAAGATAGTAGCCTTCTTCTTCTTTCTCACCCAGACACACAAGGTCACTTAGCTGAGCACAAGTCAGCCACCTGGTACAAGCTGATAAAGGTGGGCTAACTCAAGAACAATGGTCTCTCTAATAACAAGAAAAAAGAAGGGGTAACTTTACAAATGTAAGGAAGCAAAAGTCCTTGTACTCATGCCAAAGCATCTTTAAAGATTCTCTTTGTAAAACTGTTTTATGCCGTTCTTTTCTATTTTATGATCTGATGATGTATGCCTTTGCCAAGTTCTTTGTTTGTAATAATATATAATCCTGCACTGAAGTAAGTAAATCGCAACAGCATGTCTCAAAAACATTGAGAGTGTCTGTGTGTCACTTTTCCTCGCCGTATCCTGATTTCTCCTGTGCCTTCGCCCTGATTCCCTTGCGGTCTGAGTGGCTCCCTTGAGCCGGTCCGTAGCAGGGAGACCCTGGAGGAGAATGTTGGGAGACCCTGGAGGAGAATGCTGGGAGATCCTGGAGAATGCCGGGAGACCCTGGAGAATTCTGGAAGGCTCTGGAGAATGTTGGGAGACCCTGGAGAATGCTGGGAGACCCCAGAGAATGCTGGGTACTGGAACTGCTGGTAGCAAGCCTGGCAAGGAGTGGGGGGATGACCAGTGGTGTCAGGTCACTAAGAGATTCAGGAGGAGCAGGATGAAGAACTGGCATGGTACTGAGCAGAGGTGTTCAGGCAACCTTGTGGGAACTGCGCTGGTGGCTGACAGGTGTCTGGCCCGAGTGAGTTTAACAAACAGTGAGGAGACTGAGACCATCCTCAAAGCTAACCCCCCAGCCCAGGGTGTGTGTACAGAGGGAGGGAGAGGGTGGTAACTGAAGGACGTGGAGTTCTGGCCTAGGGGATATAGGAGACTGTTTAGAAAAAAAATAACGACAGCTTGAATTTTGCAGGAAAATGGATGGAGCTAGAAAACATTATTTTGAGTGAGTAACCCAGACCCAGAAAGACAATTATCACATGTACTCACTCATAAGTGATTTTTAAACATAAAGCAAAGAAAGCCATCCTACAAACCACAATCCCAGAGAACCTAGACAACAATGAGGACACTAAGAGAGATTATTTACATGGGAAGTAGAAAGTAGAAAAAGACAAGATCTCCTGAGTAAACTGGGAGGATGAGGACCTTGGGGGAGGGCTTAAGGGGGGAGGGGAGAAGCAGGGAGGGGAACAG